GTTGTATACATAAGAGATTAAGGATGTTGATGGGCAGCCAGTAGGGAATGGTGTACATAGGTTTACATAGGTGATAAAGGGGCTGTTGGGAAGCCAATAGTGAAATGATGTTACACAAAGGATATTGTACAATGGTTGAGTAGGTTACATGAAATTAATTCAGCAAGTGATGATAGGCCTTGGGGATGAAATATCCTTCATCTCTGTTCATTGCTGGGCAAATCTTCTTTATGTGGACAGCCTCAAGTAATTTTCGGGTTTTGACCTTGCAACCAACATCAAGTCTAATGGAGCCCCTATATCTAGACCACCACCTTCCCTTACACTCACCGCTGATGCTTCAGGGTTAGGTTGGGGAGCAGTGTTTGACTCTGGAGATCAGAGGACTGGTGGCAGATGGTCAGATGGTGAAATTGAGTTTCGAAGCAATATAAACTATCTGGAACTCTTGGCAGTGTTATTTGGTATAAAGAGTTTTCTGTCATCATGTGAGACTGAGAATTGATAATGCAACAGCAGTTGCATACATTAAACACATGGGCGAAACCAAGTCTGTAGTATGCAGTGTGGTGGCTAGAGACATATGGATGACAGCAAAGGCAAATAATATGTGGTTATCAGCAGTACATTTGCCTGGTGTTCAAAACTGTGAAGCTGATAAAGAGAGTCGATTGTTTAATGATGCAATAGAATGGATCCTCAACAAATGTTTGTTTAAGAAAATAACTGAAATGGTATTTATGCCTGATGTAGATCTATTTGCTTCCCGTCTTAATAATCAGGTTGTGAAATACTTTTCGTGGAGACCAGATCCTAATGCTCAGGCTGTCGTCACTTGTATGAAAATGGATGTGGTTAGTCATCAAGTGCCTTGTCATCAGTACTACACCTCCAGTCCCGTTTGCCTGTGGGTCAACATCCACTTGTGAGAAGGTTTTTGAAAGGTATATTCAATTTACGACCTTCACTGCCTAAGTATCAGACGACATGGAATGTAAGAATAGTGTTGGACCATTTAGAATCCCTAGGGGAAAATGTAGATCTATCTCTTAGAATGTTAACTTTAAAATTAAATATGTTGTTAGCTTTAGTTAGTGGTCAGAGAGTGCAATCCCTGCAGTCACTATGCTTAGACCATATTAATAGAGTAGATGACAAAGTATTTTTTGCTGTAGTTAGTCTAGTCAAACAATCAAGACCAGGGGTGCATGTACAGCCTATAGAACTTGAGACATTTGACAATGAGAAGCTGTGTGTTGTTCAATGCCTGGATGCATATTTACAGAGGACGGAACATTTGAGGAAAGACCAGCAACTTTTTGTTAGTTTTAATGAGCCGTATAAAGCGGTGACTAGAGAGACTATTTCCAGATGGCTCAAACTAGTGCTGTGTGATGCTGGCATTGACATTACTAAGTATTCAGGGCATAGTACCAGAGCTGCGTCTACAAGTGCAGCACTTAGCCAGGGGGCACAGATTCAGTGCATCATGTCAGCTGCAGGCTGGGCATCTGCAGATGTGTTTGCTCGGTTTTAGAGCAGGTTCAGACCTTTGGTCAAGCAGTACTTTCTCTGTCGAAGACCAGCGAGACAGATTAACACCTGTGACCTATTTGAGAATGTCAAACCTGTTTAGCCGAAAGTGAAATATTGGATATTAAAGAGTTGTAGATCATCACCTCTTGTTGTTTGTTGTGCTTTGAGTCTCATCACGTGACCTCTGAATGTTGTTTGCTCAGTTTGGAAATGCTTTGAAGAACACGGGGACTCACTAGGGTTTTAATGTTGATATTACCTGTTTAAATAAATGTCATTTCCTTGAACAAAGGAGAATTGAATAATTGAAACTGAGAGAATCTCAATACCATGTAAGGTGAAGTTTAATTATTCAAACAAACACTACCATTTGTGGAAGGAGGGCTAACATCAGTCCCCAGGCGGTATGGCGGCGATTACGTCAGCTAAGACTGCGAGCTTTTATGTGTTCTCTTTACTGACAAGTCCAGAGTTCATTTCAGTCATGCGGATGGAAGGATCAGAGTCTGGCGTCGATGTGGAGAACGTCACTGATTGTTGAGTTTGTGGGTTGATGGAAGAATTATGGGTTTGGGAGAGATTGGTAGTAATGGCAGGGCACCTACACATTTGTCATAGTAGAGTTGCAGCTCACACATATACAGAGGTACTGAGATCAACATTCGTTCCCTACATGATGGCATATAAACGTCTTAACATTTTGCAACAGGATCATGCACGACCCCATTCTGCTAGACACAGCATTCCTGTCCTGTCATGGCTGTGATTGTCGCAAAACCCGTTACTGACATTGACTGTGTAAAAGTTTTGAACACGTGTGAAACTTGACCCCCGTCAGTGTTATGTTAACTTACGGAGCACGTGTGAAACTTGACCCCCGTCAGTGTTACGGTTGCCCCAAATGAATAGTTGCTGCTTTTGCTTTTTCTTGTGTTTCCATCTTGATTAACAATTACAATGTCAACAGGGACATGTTCTATTCTTCATTTACCACGGAGATCAAACGTTTTATCCGGTGATGCGTTCCGAATAATTTCTGAAGTAGTTTATATATACACCTGAAACGAAGTTAAGCACCCCTACCGCTAACAGAACTATGGTCAAGTTCCGTCTGTGTATGACACGCCCGATATTAATTAAAATGATGGATTACAATCAATGATCAATAATTTTTCTGCCACTATGGTAGATTATCAGATGCCCAGAGATGGCAAATTATTGATATGCATTACTCGGTTATTTCCTTTAAAGCAAACGAATGTCCACTACATAGTTGGCAGTCGTTTGGTCAGAAAATTCAGGGAAACCAAGAAGTCGAAGGATCGCCAACGTTTTGGGCATGATGTCTGATCGTGAAAACAGGGCACTATTAAGGCTCACTCGACAACCGTTCGCCACAAGCATTGTTTTGAAGCACCACTGGTTACCATTTCGCCTGGTCTCCACGAAAACAGTCCGGAATCGTCGAAGGAGAGCCAGGTATAACTCTGGAAGGGTTAGCAGAGGTCCTCTACAGAGTGATCATCTTCAACAAGCACGCTGGGCTTGTTGTTCATCACGGCAAGGCTCGAATTAGGACTTGGCGAAGAATACACTGGTGTGATGAATGCTAATTCCTTCTTCATGGAACTGATGGACACTTGTGAGTTTGGAAGCATCAACATACAGCAGTTGCAGCAAAAAACATTCAACAAACTGTTGTCGAGGTTTCACCATTGTATGGGGATGCGTCTCCCATGACTGTAAATCTTTTAACAATACATGGGAAATTGATGGGCGATTAGTATATCAAGGTAGTTCTTGATCCAGTTGTTGTTGTCACCCGCCGCAACGCGGAACGGGGGATTATGTATTCAGTGGCGTCCGTCCGTACGTACGTCCCGATTTTTGTTAACACCATATCTCATGGACTGTTGTACCCAATGTCTTCAAGTTTGGTGACAGTTTACATTGGGGTATTACACAGACACCAGTTGATTTTGGTGACCTTGACCTCATCTTCAAGGTCACCACGATACTTTGACCGCTTTTTAAAGGCGATATCTCATAAAACATTGCCCCCAATGTTTTCAAGTATGTTGACAGCCTACATTGGGTGATTATGCAGACACCAGTCATTTCAGGCATCTTGTATGTGACCAAAACATAAAAAGTGGTAAATATAGATATTCCATTCTTTAGCGGAGGAGGACATTGCCATATCAGTGGCAAACACTTGTTCCCTATTGTGATAATCATCCCCTTGCTGCTGAACCTGGAATTATGAATGACAAACTTTCATTCAGAATAATGAAATGACCTTCCACAGGCCGCCATCAATCCAGACCTGTACGGTGTACCCCTTGTAGCACACATCGGGAGCCCTTACACGCACGTGTACCACCTGTTTAAAATCTGCGTAAGTTGAAAGCAGCTTTTCTCTGCAACGGGGGCATGGGACCTAGGGTACAGGCAGTTATCCAAGCACATGGAGGGTACACTAGATATTGATTATACGACATTTCCAGGTTACGATTATACGTTTTTGTCTCATCACATACACGCCATGTTGCCGATTCTTCTCTTCAGCTCCATACTTGTGACAGGTATCATTTTGAGCCAAAACAGATGATTTGTGTATTGTGCCACATCCATTATTGAAACATTAAAGGAAACTGTCCTTTTTGTCTTTTCTTGCAGTTAAGATCTTACAGCAAAACATGCATCTTTACTAACATCCTGGGCCTCGTTTCATAAAGCTCCCGTAAGCCTAAGATCTCGTAACTTTTGTTGTAGCATTTGTACCTCCTATACTGTAACGTATTAAAACATGAAAACGTGCAAACACCTAGATGCGGGTACAGCAACGTGCAGTAAACTTGCACATAGAACTGTGACTATGTGTCCCAGGCCACTCAGCTGTGCATGGGTACCTCGAAAGGATGGGAAAGTCATATTAACTCAGTGCCCTAGTGGCAGCAAGAGTTGTATGCTCCCCAGGGAGTTGAGATTGATAATATGATGTGCCGCTGAGATTAACATCCAATGATCAAGGAAAAAACAAAGAAGCGCTTTGAGCATGCATGTGGGATGGACTATAACGCTATATACATACCCATATAATAAAAATAATAATAAAGATTGCAAAAACAGTAACTCAGAATCTACCATAACCATGTCAGTCTTCTTGGTTGATTAACCTTTGTGCAGTACTGTCATGCAAGGCTCTGGATCCAAAAAACTCTAGGTCTTAGTTTCCATAATGGGCAAATGGCCAGCTTCAACTAGCAAGGCATGACATAAAGCAGCCTTATTCCTGGTTCAGCCATACCCTATATGAGCAAGGGATTTCAGACAGCCAGGAACTGTGATATTACCATAATGCTGACTGGTGGGTGTTATAGGTTCACTTGGTCCATGTACCACAATTATATATCTCTTTGAATTAATTAAAACAAATGTAACAAAAAATGAATGCAGACATATAAAATATGTATTTCTTTATTTTATATTATTTTAAGCATTGCAAGTTCAAGACCCACCAACACTAGTTTTATCAATACTGTCTCCCCTCCCTTCACCATCGGCCTCTTCACATGCTTCAATGACCACATCAACAATGACTGAACACATGTGCAAAATGGAACCAGCTGAAATTTTCTTTCCACTGACAACAAAATTGTCTCTGATGAATTGACAGAACATTACAGCCATTGGACTCCAAACACGTTATGATAAGTCTTCATCATCAAATAGATCATCAAAATCTGAAACACAAAGAAAAGAAAAATACAACCAGCACAAAACCTCAGATCTGAAATCAGTGCGAGTGCTTCTTCAACTGTACTGGAATACAGCAGCAACTCACACTTGGGTGTGTTGTCCTCTGACACCAAGTTCTCCATAATGAAACTGATGATTATATGTATATTTATACCATTAAGATAATAAATTGACATAATCATAAATTATGCTCAGGCACCTCGTCTTCATGCAAATTCTTCCACAAACTAGAAATATTTTGTATTTCCAAAAACAAAAACAACAATTCACTGCAGTTTAAGGCAAATAACATGCTGAAACATCCCCCTGGCCTGCTCTACCCTGGGCAAAGCTTAGCCTGGGCCGAATTCACCTGTCTGTTTGGAAAATGAAATAATGAGTTTCTCAAAAGTAAATAAACAAAACCAGTCTTTATACTAAGTCTGCACTATGTATTTATTGGACTAAATGTCGGGTTGCTATTTGTCACAACAGATTGAAGATGTTTCATTTATTAATAAATGCTACAATAGTTGGCCATAAGTGAGTCATCATTAGTGAAATTCCCATAGACTTGCATGTTAATTAACTCTTGCAAGAATAATTTTCATAAATTTAGTTTTGGTCGAATTGCTTTCAATACTTAACTAACAGGTGGGAAATCATCTCAGCTACATACACATAATTTCCATTCAATTTTCTGATGATTATTAAGAAAACTGCAACCATCTAAACAACATATATCAGACATACCAATCAGGTTTAACATGGCTGTCTATGGGATAGATTAATAGTGGTACTAATATATGGTGCTTAAACAGGTGTCACTCGATAACTAATCAACGGAAAGATGAAAGAAAATTATATACAAGTAGCTGAAGATGATTTCCAAGATGTTTGCAAAATATCAAAATAAAATGACTTCTACTCAATTTATGAAAATTATTCTTGCAACAGTTAATTAACATGTAAGTCTATGGAAATTTCACTAATGATGACTCACTTATGGCCAACTACTTTTACTATCTTAACAGAAGATACAACTGATTTCATGAAAAATATTTCTTTTGAACACGTCAACTGAACTGAAACAAAACTATCTGAAGTGTTAGATGCAGTGGTTACTGTTATGCTACACCATTTCCACTGACCAAGACATTCAGGATGTTCATATACTACTAATTAAGTTATATAAAAACTCCATAGTCTGTCACCTGTGATAAGTCATCTCGAAGATGAAATCCATAGGTTCAGATTCTGGATGTTGATTTTTTTTTATCATAGATATTGAATCCGGGCTAGGGTGAACCTTTCACACTTTGGCAAGTGTATTATTCTTGGGTGGCATAGCAATATCTGGACTGGGACGGGGAAAACTGGCTCAGGATATTCCTTGAGAAAGTTACAGCTATTTCAACACTAGGGAAGAACTGGTCTGGGATATTCCTTGAGGTTTAGTTAATGGTATTTCAACGCTAGGGAAGAACTGGTCTGGGATATTCCTTGAGGTATAGTAAATGGTATTTCAACACTAGGGAAGAACTGGTCTGGGATATTCCTTGAGATTTAGTTAATGGTATTTCAATGCCAAGGAGGAACGGGTCTGGGATATTCCTTGAGGTATAGTTAATGGTATTTCAATACCAAGGAGGAACGGGTCTGCGATATTCCTTGAGGTATAGTTACAGCTATTTCAACGCTAGGGAAGAACAGGTCTGGGATATTCCTTGAGGTATAGTTAATGGTATTTCAACGTTAGGGAAGAACTGGTCTGTGATATTCCTTGAGGTATATTAATGGTATTTCAATGCTAGGGAAGAACTGGTCTGGGATATTCCTTGAGGTATAGTTAATGGTATTTCAACGCTAGGGAAGAACTGGTCTGGGATATTCCTTGAGATTTAGTTAATGGTATATCAATGCCAAGGAGGAACTTGAGGGTATTTCAATAGGATATTCCTTGAGGTATAGTTAATGGTATTTCAACGCTAGGGAAGAACTGGTCTGGGATATTCCTTGAGATTTAGTTAATGGTATTTCAATGCCAAGGAGGAACGGGTCTGCGATATTCCTTGAGGTATAGTTACAGCTATTTCAACGCTAGGGAAGAACAGGTCTGGGATATTCCTCGAGGTATAGTTAATGGTATTTCAATGCTAGGGAAGAACTGGTCTGTGATATTCCTTGAGGTATATTAATGGTATTTCAACGCTAGGGAAGAACTGGTCTGGGATATTCCTTGAGGTATAGTAAATGGTATTTCAATGCTAGGGAAGAACTGGTCTGGGATATTTCTTGAGGTATAGTAAATGGTATTTCAACGCTAGGGAAGAACTGGTCTGGGATATTCCTTGAGGTATAGTAAATGGTATTTCAACGCTAGGGAAGAACTGGTCTGGGATATTCCAGGTTTCGTTAATGGTATTTCAATGCTAGGGAAGAATTGGCAAGGATAGGGTTATGCTTGAGACACTAGTATTACTTTCAGTCTACCTCATTGACAGCATGGTCTTCAGAATAGGATCATGCAAATGATACAAGGATACACATACAAAATAGAAAAATAGTCTTGTATTTACATATATGTCAAAAGAAGAAGCATTTGTCTTAAGCACCATCAACAGATCACAAGGTATTGTCATTAATATTGACTAATTTTGTTGTTATCAATCTTTTTGTGAAACTTTGTGAATAAAAACCTTGGGAAAAAAGACAGATTGTTCTATTTGATCTGTAAAATAATATACAGTATCCTTTGCTGACGGTCAACATGCTCTATTGTAGTACAAACAACTGAGCAAATAATGGAATAATGACATAAACAAAATAAGAAATCCAGATCTCCCTTTGCAGTTATCAGACCTCTTTTGTCACAGTGCCAGATCCTAGACTTCTCTGATGTGACCCAAAAACCATGACAATGAGTCACAAGGCTCTGAAGATCACTTGACTTGCGAAGAAATAAGTTTAGAACACTTCACCCTTATGGCTAGTGAGTTCACCAAGAAATAGGTCAAAACCATTCTTGGGATAAAAACAGTGTCTTTACAAGATTGTTTGACCCGTGAAGGTCCAGGTTAGAATATTGATCTTCAGTAAGCTGTGCTTGTCGTAAGAGGCGACTAACAGGATCGGGTGGTCAGGCTCGCTGACTTGGTTGACACATGTCATCGGTTCCCAGTTGCGCAGGTCGATGCTCATGCTGTTGATCAATGGATTATCTGGTCCAGACTCGATTACTTACAGACCGCCGCCATATAGCTGGAATATTGCTGAGTGCGGCGTAAAACTAAACACACAAGATTGTTTACAACGAGAGGTTGCTGAAGAGTTGTTATCCCAATTATGGTGGAGTTAGTTGCTGCTGGTTTTCCAACACAATCCACTTTGAGTTCCACACATTTCTGACAATGTTACCCCTGTTGGTGGTACAAAGAGTCAACATGACATGTTCAATGAATACAAAGCCACACCTAAAGCCAGTTTTCCATGATGGTTTACCGTGATATTCTCCAAGAGCTGCCTAATCATGCTGGTCATTAACACTTGCCTTGTGGTAGGGAGTTGTTTCTTTGGAATCACAGAAAGTGGATGGAACAGACTTTGCCTCTGGGTAGGAGACGTTAGATGTTTCCCCTGATTTGACTGTTGTTTAGTCTCTGGATGAAAGTTGAGAACCCACAACTCACCCATGGTTACTAATCCCACAGCAAACTCAAGCACTCATGAACCTTAAGTGTTTCTGATCAAAGGAAACAAAGCAGCATGATGAAACTTTTGTCATGAAGGATGAACACTATTCAGGCTACATGACCTCAGGTGAGCCATTTACTATGCAAAGTCATATCATGTATTGTATCAACATATTCCTACGAGGTGGAAGATAAATATCTCTTCCATCTTGCATTATCTTTGGGTTTCTCTCTCCACTCAAGGAACTCTGCAGCTCACCAACCAACAGATGCAAATATAAGAGCATCATCCCTAAACTTAACAACATGTCCATGTGCAGACTGATGGATTGATAACTTTCAGTCAGAGAAACTTGTTGACCGCAGTGGCCAATTTGTCCATTTTCATTAACAGAGAGCAGCTAGTAAGGGACCGTTCATAATTTATGGCCGAGGGGGTGATGATGATTTTTATGGAGAAGCATGTACAATGTGAATGGTGAATGACCCCCCCTAAAATTTATGTACAAAGTAAGTGACCCCCCTGCATGGCATGTACAAAATCAATGACCCCCACTCCCCCTTCCAATATTTTTTAAGCATAATTTTTAAATATTTTATGTACAAAATTGCTGACCCCCTACCTCCCCAGAACAAAATGGTGACCCCCTTTAAAATCATCATCACCCCCTAGCCATAAATTATGAATGGTCCCTAACATTGATACCAGCAGAAACAAAACAAGCCCTCAATGTTAATAATTCAGAGAATTAATCAGTGTGAATGGCTTTGAGAAAAATATTATCACAGGTTTTCCATCCACTCCTATGTAGAGCTAGTATATTATAACTTACTTAGATTGTGTTTACTGGAACAGATGACTGAAAATAATGAATAATAAATCTGATGGTCACAGCTGAAAGCCATTGGAACAGCCAAGGTGCAACTGATAACCCAATTGGTACAATTAGAAACGTGTAATGGAGGCTGCTGACTGAGTGATAGATTTCTTGGATCCTGGGTAAAAGCATCATGGCATGCAACAATGAAAACACAGAGAGGAATTAACTTTGATTCTGATATTTTTGTAATTCGCCTTGATTTGTATATATCTTTGAGGACAAGTGGGATCATCCAACTTACCAAATGCTGAGAGATGTGCAAAGTTCATTCCATCTAGATTTTTGGTGGATATAACAGATATTCCTTGATGAGAACTTTCAGATCTACAATTATGCGCCTCTTGTTGAACTGACCTTTACTGTGACCTTGTACATCAAACACATCCCTTACCAATCACTGACCAGCACCATATAAGTCAAAACAGTTAACATATTCATGCAAACCTTTTCAGGCTATGGCCTTGACAGGACTGATCACTGTTTCAAAACAATTTCCTATATAAAGGAAAATACTTGATAGGATAACTGTGACATGACCCAGCCCTGAATGGCTTCACAAGCAAGTCTTGGAAGAGGCTACTAATTCACATTTACATACCATTAAAGAAATCTGCATGAACAGACTTCTCATTTGCAGCAAGGTCCATAAGTAAAGCACTCGATCCTCCAGCCTACAAAACAAACATTTACAATGAAATGTAATACTTATGTGCTAAGTGATTTTATAATAAGTAATTAGCACAGTTACTTTATGGCGTGTAAGTTTGATCTGGCAGGAACCCCTAAAGTGTTTCAGGTTTAAGACAAGTCAGTTGAACCCAGGAGCACTGGTATTCTGCTGACAAACCTAAGAATATAATGACAGTGAATATTGGTTTGAATAGGGGACACGGCAAGGAACTGTACTTTGGATAGATATTATCAAACAAGTTCAAAGACAGATGAATCAAATGGTTTGAATTTTAAATACATGTATTGAAAACAAAACAGGTCCCAGTATCCAGTTTTGTCAAAAGATGTACTTAAAACGGGGACTGGCTGTCAGACTCTGCACATCATACTTTCAGTTCCTGGTTTTATCTGGGCTTCAGACTTGTGGTCGGTTACAGAAACAACAATTCAAGGTAAAGTGAGGTGACACATTATTGCCCACATGTGGTGATGTGCATGTACATGAGCATACATGTGACCCTGAACTTTGTCCATTCCCTTAATGCAGGATAACAACAAGTTCCATCCTTAATGTTTATGGTATGATGTGGTGATCAGTTGTACACAATACAAAATATGAACAGCAGTAGTATTTCATCTTATGTCATTTAAAGGGATATTTCAGCACTATCATGAATAAGATAGACTTTGCTAACTCTTTGTCATTATCCATTCTCTTCCCCCAGAGGCTACTTGTCATATCTTCCTACGAACCTCTGTTCTAATACGGCCCTTTCATGGTGAGAGTGTTCAGGATTCGTGATTGGTTGCAATCAGATTTAGTTGTGCAATCAATGACGTTGTTTCAAAAGAGATCGTTCGCAAGGCCTCGGTAATTTCCATATGCTTTGGGAAAACTGGAAAAACTGGAACCTCTTCCCCTGCGCGATGTGCAAACGTTTCTTCTAGACAGAACTTAGTCATGTAATGGCTGATCAATGGTGTCTCCATTGCCCTCGTTGACAACAGACAAGCTAGCCATTAAATGTCTTATGTGTCACATCAACACAAGTCCCCGGCAGAGGAGGGATATTTGTGGCCCCACATTTGCTTGTATTGGTCAAGTTGGGTCGATGTAACACGTGTTCTGATTGGATAGAAGAAGGGAGATAATTCGTGTTGCGATTTTTTGCCACTAGGGGATTTTACGAGAACCGGGAAATATGGCCATATTAGAACAGAGGTTCGTAGGAAGATATGACAAGTAACCTCTGTGGCAAGAGAATGGTCATTATTATGTATACAAAGTTTTGGTTTGATCACTGTGATACTTTTTTCTGTTTTTTAAATTAAAACTCTATGGAAAAACACACCATGTCTACTTTTCATCTAAATGTTATGACAAAAACTGAACTCAGTGATATTGATTGGAGTATAGGCTCATCAGGTGAGCAAAGACTCTAAAATTGTGCAAAGGTTTTAAACTGAAACTCTATGCTCAGGCAACACCCTTGACTTGGGAAGATGATTTGGAGTGTAAAACCATCAATATATTATCTTTGATATTGTATCTTACTGTCTCAAGTTTAAAGGTTTCAGTTTTACTACAGATTATTTCACATTTGAGGTTATTGTCAGATGGTCACACAGTTTTTGACAGCATTAGACATTGTGTAATTCACAGGTGGACGTTATCATTGTTTATTCAGGGACTTTGTGATTCATTCCTAAAGGCTTGTCTCTTGTTCATATGTCATATTTTGTACGTATTTCTCGCTTCTCTAGAGATATATGCTTTCAATAAGTTGCACTTTTGTTATGGTGTAAACATTGGGAAGTTCATGGTAACTAGTTGTGTTTCTATATTTTATTGCATAGTGCAATGAATTACAAGTATTATTATTTATCATATAATGGAGGGTGTCATCGTGCAAGAAAGCACTCTGATAAACTTGGTATCCAAATCTGATACCTATGCAAATTACGTCAAACTACTTTCGCAAAACTCCATACACGCCATGCGAATCCTAAAACGTTTTAACATTTCATTTATGACGTCATCGCGAGTTTACATTGTTTGTAAACAAACATGGCTGTCCCCATTCTCAAAACTGGGGATTCTGTAAGAATTGATGACAGAGGTTCTGGAGTCGTTACTGCAGTCTTTGGAAAACATGAACGGAGTACTTCGTTCAAATAGAAGATACGGATTATGAGGCACGACTGAAAGGCAATTGTCTAAGAAAGGTACCAACCAAGGATTTCGATCTATCGATCACAATACAGATGACGAATCGATTCCGTGAGGTATCAACTCATATTGATGAGGTGATTACCCGCAGTGAAAATAGAAACACTCCCAAGAAAACCCTGCCCGATTTTGTTGTTCTCTTTAGACAGAAAGATCTTATTTTAAGCATGAGTTATGTTTGCACTGCATTAGCGACTAGTCACAACCATATGCCGCCGTCATGAATGACCTTCACCTTGGTGTACCACTAAGTATTCTTACGCGAATGCTAGATTCTCTTCATATATATTCACGTACGATTTGCTTCTTTTTTAAGAGTAATTGTAATAATGACATTATATGATAAGAGATTATTAACCTCGTGTGTTTCCGTATCATAAATATCATATATTAGGAATAAAAAGTAAGTATTATGCTTGCCAAAGGCTCGCATAATACAACTTTTATTCCTAATATATGACATTAATGATACCGATACACGTGGTTAATAATCTCTATTTACGTACAGTTATTAATTCAATAATCCAATAAGTATCATGTTCAGGCATAATATTTCATTATGATACTAAATCTTCAAGTAATATAACGCTGATGCATGATAGTGTGAAGTATGAAGGTAAGAATGTGAAACACATGCTATGTATACATATGTAATGTATGAACATATGTGTGAATGAAGGAATGAGGGTTTTAGTATTACATTTTAGAAAAGCTTCAAAGTTCTCGGCAGTAGAATATTGTATATGTAATAGTAATACTGCAAACTGATTGATCTGCTTAGCATGTATATGTTCATTTATTCGTCCCGCAGATGTAGCTTTATTGCAGCTGTCGGTGTGTGGATGGATGAACCCAGGTCCACACATTTGGAAGGTTTTCTATATGTTTTCTATTGTAAACTGTAGGTACACATAATAATGAATGTATCTTGCTAGGTTTGTTACATCATATTTTTAATTATATGGTATGCATATGTACATACAAGTTATTAAAGAATATTTGGAATATAGCATTAACAAAGTGTGGTTGCAAAGTGAATGTAAGTTTATCTATACTGTATATTAGCATTTAGAATTTTGTGTGTGTCACATTAAAATGAATATTTGTCATATTACAGTCAGCATATATTCATGCTTAGTCCTATAAATATTTTACAATTGTTACAGGGCTTAATGATAGTTAATCTATTAATCAGAAATAAAACGTAACCATAACTGCAATAACGATACCTGCGTCTGTTCTTCATGTCATGAAGCAGTCCTAGTTTCATGGAGGCAGACAAACTACTTAAGATTTTTCTTTAATCATTGATCTTCTACACTTGGAGAAGAGTCATTATAAATCCACTTACAGTATTCAACAATTGTTTCCTTACTGTTATTCAGAATTTTTGATCTTCTGCTGCAATCTAGAGTATTGCACTTAACCAAGTGCATTGTTTCAAGTGGTAATTAAGCACCAAATGGACATGGTGGAAGATGAGATTAATCTAATTAGCCATCACATTACCATAGAAAGGTGCGCATGTATAGTCACAAGTAATTGTTGTTTGTTTACCTACTGATCACTACTCACTTGTTTACCTTTTACATAACTCAGGAATTATTAATTACAAACTGACAGATTTTCATATCATTGGATCAGTTTGTGAAAGACATGTGATTGCTAAAGATGTGAATACTCCTAAGGTTGTGAAAGGATGTTTGATTGGAAAGGGGTACCTAAAGGCAGACTCACACAGGTAAACCTGTCTATTTGATTCGCCAAATTTGACTGAGTCGTATCGTCTGTGTGATTAATCAAATTCAACAAACAGTACAAATCGGACGCTCGAACCAACATCGGTTGTGTTGCAAGTGTGAAGAGCCTGTTCTAGTTATTCAGCCAGTTGGATGTAGCATGGCCAGTGAAATTGCGTTTTGGTGTCACGTAAATGTTTACATACAAGCGCAAAACATGGCTTCGTCTGCTTCACAGAAACCACGCCTCAGTTTTTCGCGGGAGGAAACAGAGTGTTTTGTGGCTCATTATCAAATTCCTTAATGCCCATTCTTTAAGGCTCATCATCGAGAACCCATACAAAATCCCTGGTTGTTACGATCGGCAACAGTTTCACTGATACGATGTCATCAACGCTATTTTTGTAGGAAACACTTGTTATTTTTGTGTGAAATAGATGAATATATCCTTTATCACTCAAGGTTAGTAAAATAAAAACTTTAAATGATATTACAAATAAAAATTACGTTTTTGTCTTACATCGTTGAAAACCCCTGACACCGGGATATTACCATTCTCTTCCCACAGAGGTTACTTGTCATATCTTCCTACGAACCTCTGTTCTAATATGGACATATTTCCCGGTTCTCCTAAAATCGCAACAAGAATTACCTCCATTCTTTCTGTCCAATCAGAACATGTTTTACATCAACTTAGATCCAACTTGACTAATGCACGCAAATATGGGGCCACAAATGTCCCTCCTCTGCCGGGGCATTGTGTTGATGTGACACACAAGACATATAATGACTAGCTTGTCCGTTGTCAACGAGAGGTGATGGAGACACCATTGATCTGCCATTACATGACTGAGTTCTGTCCAGAAGAAACGTCTGCACATCGCGAGGTGAAGAAGTTCTAGTTTTCCCGAAAAATACGGAAATTACCGAGGCCTTGTGAATGATCACTCTTGAAACAACGTCGCTGATTGCACAACTAAATCTGATTGCAACCAATGGCTGGCCTACCTTTAGAATACAGCACCACAAACTTTAAAATTACGTCATAATACCCTTTTACGTAATGTAATGTGATTTTGTTCAAAGCATGTTCTCGAAACAATGCCCTCTGACGCCTGCATGGCAACATGGTTGTCTGGCTCAGGGAGTGCGTATACGCTCCGCTCACTGGTGTTTCATCTCTACGAGCTATGTCATTGCGTAAGCCCAACGATGTTGAGAGTTTCCAGTAGTTGTATACCGGCGGATGCGCAATGTTTTGCAAGCACCAGTTTGAAATATTTTTCTTTTTTCACTAATACGCTCATATTTATTTGTATTACGGGGTGCTGAGGTGTTATTCTTTGTGTATTATTGTATTTTGTAATTTTTAAATTTACATATATATTTTGGTCATTCAGTAATTTGCACCATTACATATTAGTATTTTATTTTTTGAAGCGGTAATAATGCATTACACTGGACCCGTCAGTCATGTTGTGCCCGGTTCGGTCAATGCATTCTATTTATTTGGATTAATTCAAGAGTGTAGGGTTAGGGTTAAGGTTTAGGGTTTAGGGTTAGGTACATGTCCGGTGTAATACGTGAGTACCATTTGTTGTTTTTCCTTTTTCATTTTAATACTGCCGGTTCGATCAATTCATTCTATTTATTAGGATAATTACAAGGGATTAGGGTTAGGGCTGAGGGTTTAGGGGTTAGGGTTAGGGACCTAAACCAATATAATAGGTACATGTCCGGGGTTACACGTGAGCACCAATTGTTGTTTTTCCTTTTGCATTTTAATACTTTTTTTCACACAAAAACGGGAGACCAAATCGTCAAAAGTACACTATGAAATGGTTTAATGTAGAAATTTTGGGCTAATGGAAATTGGCCTGGAATTTGCACTGAAGCCTCTTTCACACGCAACATTTGTTCAGTAATGATTCGAAGGCTAACTCACCCTCATGCCGTCACTACACATGCTCATGTCTCCCTCGTTCCTTAGTGCGATCGACATTATCCTTACAGTGTTCCCTACATCACTTTTCTGTCATAAAATCACCGATTTATATAAAAGCGCGCGATTCATGCATGCACCGTGAAATCTACGTGTGATGTCTGACGTCAACAGCCCTTTTCAGTTTGAGGCATATCGGCTCATTCCACGCCACACGTTATCTTGTAGATTACAGAATGGTATGAGTGTGCCAAATGGCATCGGGTCCATCGGCAATTGTCAGTAGATTAAAATCACGAGACACCAAGTCTACCCCTAACCTTCGTAATTGTCTGTGACCTATTCGACTCTTTCCGTTCATTTCCATGACTTCACAGGAATGACTCGATAAATTTGCACGTGTGGACGTAGCTCAGTCGGTTAGCTGTCGAGCTAACAATCCGAAGGTCGCGGGTTCGCGTCCGACGGGTTTTCACAAACTAGTTGCTTGTCTTAATGACACGTGACCTAAAGCAGAGCTTGTCCTCACGAGAAGTTGTGGTGCTGTATTCTAAAGGTGCTCCCAACCAATCACATATCCTGAACACTCGCACCATGAAAGGGCATTATTAGAACAGATGTTCGTAGGGAGATATGGCAAGATACCTCTGTGGGAAGAGAATGGGATATTACATATGAATATATATTTATTATGGCTGAAGGGGTCGTTGTCGGCACAGGTACTACAGATACGTACCCCTGGTACGTTTCTGTATACAGATATGTACCCTAAACAAAGTCAAAATACAGAAACGTACCCGGTACCCTAAAAGGCGGACGAGTCCATATTCCGCAATCCAAAAACCGAAACCGTATGTAGTTGTTCCCGTTCAACTGATTGCGAGTGGTATTCATGTGCATCGCGAAATATCCGTTACTGTGTATTCTCATTACTTACATAACGCACTCAAATGTACCTAATACAACAGTATGACAGTTCCGGTCAAGAATACGACACAATGGGAATGGAATCGTCCTAGGGTACGTTTCTGTATTCTCATTATGGCCAAGGTACGTTTCTGTATACAGAAACGTACCTGGGGTACATATCTGTAGTACCCGTGCCGACAACGACCCCTTCAGCTTTATTATGTGCCATGCCACAGGTACTGTTAAAGGTAATCCTAAGGACCCCAAGGTAGCTGCAGCTGCGTTAAAAGTCTCAAACCTGCCAAAAGCCAACTCTAAATCTACGTCATGTGTACACGAACAGAAGTCTTCTTTTTAATGAATAGTCGACTAGTGGCTCCGACAAGCGGATCAGTCGGGTCATTGGTAATAATAAAATCATCATAAACTGTTAAAAGTAACCTCTTCAATATCCATATATGGCCCAGCACCCTCTGGGAACATTTCGTCAGCTACAATCGCCGGTTTCATTGTATGGTTTGTGCGTTTCTTTCCCTGAAAAGCTCTTTTACGACTTTAAAACAAACGGAAGTACACTTTACGGCAGAAAACATATTACTTCCCATGCGACTGTCTCTGCTTTCGTCTCGACTTAAAGTGATGAGAATGATATATATGGTACTTAATGGTTCCGTCTGAACATTGATAATCTGGGTTGCAAAGGGCGGTCAGTATTGACGGACTGTACTAGTGCACTTGTTTCTGAAGTGATTTTGAGTTGATCGATAGAAACATTATTTCTGTGGAGAAGCACGGATATAGGGCTACCCCATCATGTCTAGTATATTGCAAATAAAAAGTGCTGTTTCGAAAGTACTGCGTCATGTCTGGCAACTGTTTATAAAAAAATAAGCTACTCATCCTGTTGTATAATAGCGTTGAATAATAGCGTGGGTTTTTTAAAAACGTTTTATATTTTCCTATTTTAGGCTAGCCAAAATACGATGACAGAGACACACTGTTTTCTGTTGGAAGACAAATATCAACAAACATATTCATGAACAGAAAAAATATTGTTGGAAAGAATGGTACGAGTCAAAATGTCCATAGCCCAGAAAACAAAATGAAGACATGAAAATGTGTAGATTTAAAGAATAGATATCAAGAGTTTGTGTCTTTCGTGTGCTCTCTTCATGTCACATATCAGGGTAAACTTAGGGACCGTTCATAATTTATGACGGGGTGGGGGTGGGGGCGGTGATGATGGTTTTTCATGAAGAAGCATGTTCAAAATCAATGACCCCCCCTCCTTTCCCATGATTGTTAAGCTCATATGTTAATATTTATATGTACAAAATTGCTGACACACCCCCGGAGTACATGCTAACAAAATTGCTGACCCCCCGAGTACATGCTAACAAAATTGCTGCCCCTCCCTTTAAATCATCACACACACTCCGCCCCAGCCGTAAATTACGAACGGTCCCTTGGTGAAATATGATTTTTTACACTGAGCTTTTGTAACCAATATACCCATACTCAGTACACACTGAGATAACCCGTGATCGAGAATACAAACAAAAAAGACAACTGTAAACACACGTACAGGATTTACCAGAAATTACACCAGAATGGAGTTTGATATCCAACCAATATTTTGTACGCACACTTGATTCAGCTGCAGTTGATTGCCAAAAAGCGCTTTCTGACTAATAATACCCCAATTTGTCCAGTGCCAAAGATCTCTGTATAATTAGGTAAATTATCTGGATTTAAGCACTTCGTTCAGTACGAGGACTCTCCGGATCCACGTACAGTTATATATAGATAAATACGAATACATGATATTAATTGTACACTGTAAAATCAACCAGTCTTAGACAAAACAGACTGTTCACGACTAATAAAATTGTTTGTATAAAGATGGTGGGGAAAATACACGTCAAAGAAATTGCGTGGAAAGAGCTCTTCTTTCGTCATGTAATGCCAAGGGACACAACCCAAGTTTCTATGTATTAATATCTGTCCTTAGGAAATCAGTACTATTCACGTGATTCCAGTCATATGACGGGTGTAAGCGGTCGAGTTTAGTACATTGCACGTGAAGTATCATTGTATTTTAATACTGGGAGGCGTAACAACAGGTAATGTTTCTGATGTATGCTACTATGAGTAAGGTATACACATCTTTTAGTAGTCTCAGTGATCATTTGTACCCGTTAATCTCGGAAAATCTTTTGATTTCAGAATAAACGGGTCGGTTTAAACAGGGACAAACAAGCCTTTTGGGGAGGAAGTAGATTCCGAAAGAAGTAATAATGAAGACGTTTCTTTTATTTGCTGTGTTTGGAATAGGTAAGTTATGGTGTTGAAAATAATAGTCTGTCATTATTCATCTGCTATGCACATGTAAAGGTAAGATATACGTAGTTCTATGTAAGTCCAGTGATAGTCACGAGACTGGACATATTAATGGCTTTTTAGAAAACACTTGTTCAGGCATCATCTGTTATCTATTAGATTAGTCTCAGTACCCACATTGTTATCATGTGTTATAGTTAGATTGAAAGTTTAAACTGGGAGCAATGATAGGGCAAACTGGTTCAGACTGCTGGCTGTGGCTCTTGGGTTCTTAGGGTTAGTTGTTTTAGTGTAGCTGACTCCTAACACCATCTTAAATCGAAACAAAAGTGCAAGGTGGCACCATTTAGGTTAGACCTATGTAATCACCTGATGCCAATTAGTGAAGTACTGTATTTGATAGGATTATTCATACAAAACCTTTCACCATGGAAATTTACATATGTGTGTCCATGTGTATGTACAGAACCATAACCTAAATGCGTGGATAACCTTGATTGATGGATCGTGGTAATTATCATGCTATCTCGTAAATTAAGTCTCGTATGACGTCTCAAAGCTGTACTTTTGATGTACACACATACCGTGATATTGCTGGAATATTGCTAAAAGCGGCTTAAAACCAAACTCAGTAAGTCACTCATGGTACGTAACATAAGAGAGAAATTAAAGATAAAGTTATGAACCCTATGAATTTTTTTTAACTTAGTCAGGGGATGTCCCACGACCTATATAACAGCAGTTCAAGTTCACAAGTCATTAATTGTTTCATTCCCTATCAATCTACGGTAAAAGAAACACTCAAATAGTCACACAATTATTCATGGTTACTGTATGATATAAATTTAATTTTGTTTTCACGAATGACATGAGAAATTTGGACTGACTGAGTTTGGTTTTACGCTGCTTTTAGCAATATTCCAGCAACATCATGGCGGGGGACACCAGAAATGGGCTTCACACATTGTACCCATGTGGAGATTCGAACCCGGGTCTTCGGCCTGACGAGCCAACGCTTTAACCACTAGACTACCCCACCGCCCTGAGAAATTTTGAAGGGTGATAACTGTTACAGTTAGTTGTGAGAAAACATGTATTTATACTGCCATGATTCCCTTCCGCTGCGTTATATGAAAACATGATCAGCGGCAGTGGATGGGCTAGTTAAGTATCATTATTAATTTTGTTTCATTAAGTTAACGAACGGCAGAGTAATTTTGTAAATACCGCCAAAATATGGCGATAACTGTTCGGTAGCCAGTACATGTAAGTACTCTAAATCTAATTGTCCAGCACTGAGATAAATAGCCCAAGATCACTAATGCCACTATAAATAGAAAATTTTCTTTTTACAAAATGTCAGATACAGTTAGCACCAACCTTGTCACATCTTGTCGTCTCTTTCGTGGGTGTCAATACTTACTGCAATGCGCGTCGTACAGAGTGATATATTGTAAATGACAACCTAATTAATGAAACAAGGTGACATCACATTTTGTGGGCACATGAATGGGTGATGATTGCAAATGGCTTCAGTAAACAAACGTTTCATTCACGAGTGGAATATAAGACATTTTCAATTTGCTGAATCAGTGAATAAAGTAATGACTTACAAAACAAAATGAAATTGTGCATTCAAAATGTGATTTTCGGCACACTTCTCTTATATCCACGAATCAAGGTTATGCGAGTGTACGATTATGTATCCTGGTGTCAGGGGTTTTCGACGATGTAAGACAAAAACGTAATTTTTATCTTTAATATCATTTAAAGTTTATATTTTACTGACCTTGAGTGATAAAGGATATATTCATCTATATAAAAATATCAAGTGTTCCCTACCAAAATAGCGTTGATGACATCGTATCGGCGAAACTGTTGTCGCTCTCCACATCCAGGTATTTTGTATGGGTTTTCGACGATGAGGCATAGCTTTTGATCCGCACTGCGAGGGAGTGTTGTGATCACACGGCTTCCTATTCATATATTGCCCGTCACTAGCAGATGACCGATCTTACTGAAATTTTGCTTACTATTTTTTGTTATATAGGCAATTGATTTTGCATCTGAGGTGATATTAATGATCTCGGTTAAATAATATTGATGTTTGTTTGCGTTTTATATAACTTAACTTCTGGGTTTCCATTGTCAATAAAACTTCCTATGACAGCGACTGGGCACCCGCCGCCCTACCGATGAAACTGCTTGTGCACTCCGATCGTGCACGTACTCCAACGGTATAGCGCGAGCAATGCAATCGTCGAAATCACCAGTACGTCGAATACAGCTCGCTTTGGGATAATTCAGTATGAAGCGATTATGTATCCCTATTATGTTTGATGCAATGAATTTCTCTGTGTACTCAAAATAGCTTTGACACAAGGATTATAGCAATCAGTGGTTGGCATTTATCTTTTCTTATGTCGTGTGGTGAATGTATTAGATCTTAAGTAATTTGCGTGTGGCTGAGCAGAAATTGAAGAATGGCCAGTTGCATTGCAAAGAAACTTCAAAGGATTAACACACTATCTGTTGATTAATTAATCACTAGTAGTGGTATCTTGCACAGTGGATTTGTCCAAAGTGTTTACATGTGTAGGTTGACTAATACATCTGCATATAGGCACCTATATAAATGCATCATACTTTGTTCAAAGGATTAGCTGATAACACTGAATATTTTTAAGGAACTGTAGATCTCACATGTGCTATCTCAGCTGACCAATGAGACATGACAGAGATGTGAAACAGCTGAAATGAACTTGAGAGATGAACACAGGGTATAATATTCCAAAACGCTTGAGATATCTTCTTTGATTGGCATTCTAGAAGTTGAGGAGATGAAGACTGAGGACAGTTTTATGGATATACAACTTCTTTATTCTGTACAGGCGACATTTCTAAATAGATTTTAATGTCACTTGATACATGTCTAACTTGCTTGACAGCGACATTAGAATCTATGTTTGACTTATTTATGCCAAAACCAATATGGAAGGGAATAGAAACTGACAAAGTGTTGACAGAAACTAATAAAGGTCACACATGACAAGGGTGTCATGGACAAATATGAATGGTCACGTTGCCATTTGGCACACTCATCTGTTGCTTCATCTGGAATCTAAAACGGCTACCTGTATCAAATGTTCACTGGTATGACTCCGCAGGTATTTGACTTCATCTCAAAATTGTTTGTCTTACAAAGTCGTTTTGAGCTGTAGAGCTTTGTGTCTGTATATATTATTATTGGAAAAACATCTTTTATTTATTTCTCTTATAGCCAGTATGTTTTTGGGATGGTGACGATGACAGTATACAGAAAACATTCGGGTCATGTTTTGAGAGTCTAATGTTGTTTCCCTTAACCTCATTAGGACAAGTGATCACTTGTCAGATTCTTTCTAACAGTCACATTATATATGCTTAAGGTTGATTGCATGCTTCTGAAATGTCACAGATACACTTCAATTTCATTGGTCACAGAATTCTATCAGTTAGAGATTTGGCTACAAGTTACTGCATTTCTGGTGTCCCCCTTCGTGATATTGGTGGAATGCTTCTAAAAAGCGTGAAGAAACTAAGCTGAACTCACTCACTCACAAGTTCATGAGTGTAGGGACAAACTGAAATCTACTGTTGAATCTACTGTCTGTTGAATTGACTTGTGTACAAAGACATAGTATTTAATAATTTGTTGGTTGATTTTGAAACAGGAACTTGTGGGAAGGGACACTGTAAGTGTAAGGATAACATGGATAATTTTAAAGTGAGTATGAGTGAGTTAAAATATAACGTTGCATCGGCATTTTTTCGGCCATATAACGAGCCATGCTATTATCTAAACACTATAGAATGTTTACACATTGCTGCAGATGCTATGAGGTTGAGTCTACCATTGAGCTAATGTGGACAACTGAGTGAAAATAGCTGGTGGAAAAAAGGACATGTACAATTTGGATTGAATCTATGTGTGTGGCACATGAACAAGTACAACTGATAAACTGCTTGCATGCTTGAAATATTCCAAATTGCTGGATCGGAAAAAAATGTTTTCAATCCAGTTTATAAAGCCTTCCACTACATGAAGATGAAAAGGAAAAAACATATGTTGAAAATAGTAATGCTTTCCTACTCTGGTAACATGACATTGTTTCCATTCAGTAAATATTCAATATAATAGTTTGTAGGGATGACAGATCACTGACGACCAATCACAGTGGATATAATCTCCATAAAGAAACCCTCAACCAGTAAGCAAAAGAAACAATAAGTAAACACCTCTGTACCATTGTAAGAACAGTTGATCATCTGATGAAGACATTAGTTGTCTGTCCTTCATGATATGACATTGTAATTCATAACGAGGCAGCCAGTGTTAATATTTATAAATGTAGATGGCAGGTCAGATATGAAAGGTGAGATAGCAGTGATATGGATATGATTATTGTTGAGTGAAGATTACTGAGACAGAGTATGCAGATGCTTAGATAGCTGACTCACTCCTGACTATCACACTCGAGGAGTGTGTTTGTATCATGTGACACATTTACTGTTGCACAACTTGACTTCGTTATTTCATAACCATATTATTTCTAAGAGTGAAGAACTGATACACAGTTGACAGTATCATGACAGGGTTAGACAATACAGGACAAATCTTATGGATAACAACTTCTTGATTTATTTTTCACGTTTCTGGGCTGGTTCTTGCCACTTCTTCAGGTGGATAATGGTGATAGTGAACAGTACAGTATATATATAGATGTACAGGAAGCCAGATATGTAAATTGAGTATATACAAGGGATTGCCCTTATTGTAAAAACATACCCTATCTTTGTATTCTGCTCTTTGATCTCACTGCATTGTTTGTACATACTTAACTATATCTCCTTGATAAATGCAGATTGATTATCATATCTTTCCTGTTTAACCCCAGCAACAAGTTGGTATAATTAGTTTATAGGTCTGTTGGCTGGTAGCATATTCACAAACTGTTTGCTTGTTATTGATACTCAGTCTGCTGTTATCCTAACTAATTACTTAACAGTCTGTGCAATCAGCACTGATCAGTGGATACCACCAGTATTGGTATATCTATTTATATTGGCCTCGCTTGATTAAGTGTAACATCTGTCACTGTTATGATGTTGTTATATATCTCTATCCACACCATTGTTATTTTTGTTAAAGTATTCTGTTCTGTGATCAGTGTCCTCCTCACTACAGCTCTATAATAAAGTCTGGTATCTTCCATCTTTGCTGATACTGCATTTCTGTCTACATGTTGAGGAAAGACCATCCTCAGTTTGGTGAAAGGGGAGCTACTTACTGAGACAGCTTCCACAGACATACAGTTTTTACATTAGAAAACCCCTTGCAGACCAAGCCAAACTATTCTAAAAGTATTGTCATCATATGCAAACAGAAGAAATGAGTTCATTAACCATGGTACTACCAAATAAAAATGAAATTCCACTTGATGTTCCTAGTGTTTGTTGTAAGAGCCGATACAAATGGGAGCGGGTTTCCTCAGTAGTGCTTAATTCAGTGTCCAGTGTAAGTATTGCAAGGTGTGCACGGTAATAGTTGGCAAGGACAATATTATTAACAACACATTCATTATGAAGGGTAATTATGTCTGTCCAAGTGTACCAGGTGCAGACGACGGGCTGAAAGCAGGCATGTTTGTGAACAGAGACCTCTGTCCACAGTTACTCATTTGGCTGATGTGGTTGCTTGACTAAACAATAGCTACTATAGTCTGTTTGGCTCAAAAAGTTGTTTAACAAACTATCATTAAATTATTGACACAGTTCACTATTTAAAATATTGACACAGTTCACTATTTGTTACGAGGGAGGAGTGCAGAGAAAGGGACAGCCAGGTGTGTCTGTGAACTGTGTCAATAATTTAATGATAGTTTGTTAAACAACTTTTTTAATTTTAGGACATAAATTCTGCAAACAAATCACAGAGTTGGTCTGATGTTTTGATTATGATCAGCGTTTCATTGAGTATTATATGTTTATTAGTTTTCGAGTTAGATTGCAATTCATAGGTCCGCCTTTGAGCCAAACGGACTATAGTGTTAAATGTCATGTTTTTTAATCATTATGTATATTACAATGAAAAATCAGGTGGATGGCTGACAGTGAAGGTATTGATTTAGGAAGCTCATCTTAGATCAGTTACTGGTTGTTGTTGAGGATTAAGTGAACAGTCTGTATTCATGTCATATTATTCCAGGATGGTTTAATCTTTAACCTAATAGAAACTGAAACCAGTCTAGTACTGTTCGAATATTGCTAGAAACAGTCATGTCTGTGTTGTACAAAGGCCCTGCATCACCACATTTGGATCGAAAGTCACTTTCATTCTTATTCTGGTAACATTGTTTCTATTCATGACTGATTGTCCAGCAGGTCAACCTGCTTTTACCCTCATCTGCAGCTATCATCTCAACATGGAAAAAATATTGAAATATATCACACAAACAAATACACCTCACAGTTTTCAATTATGCAGGAATATATTGTTAAAATATGCATGAGGTGAGTATCATATCCAATGGTTTGGTAAATTCATCAGTAATTGTTTCTGTCCTGCATGAAACAGCATGACGATGACACAAGTCAATGACTAAAGTCATTATCTTACTTTTCTTATGCAGCCCCCTGTATTTAGGAATAGAATTTAGAGGTAGTGTACATACTGTATGTTCACTTTGAAGGTCATTGCATGTAATTGGAAGACTTTGAAGGTTTAGGCTGCTTTCGTGAATTGGGCTTCAAATAAACTGAACTTCAGTATTTATTATTGACGAAAGATAATATACCTGATCTGTGAGCCAGGATCTGGATGATATAAACTTCAGGATATTTACAAGTCTCTAGATGTCATATAATACATTTCAGGATGTTTCATATTGCTTCATGAAGTCAAAGCTTTTTATCCCCCGCAACACGCTCGTCTGTCCCTCTGTGCACTTTTGTCTTTTCTGGAGCAGAACTCTAAAACCGTTCACTATTTCTTCACCAAACTTGGCACATAGATAGATCTGGAGGTGTACTGGTGACTTTTGGTAGTTTTGGATTTCTGAATAATATATTTTTGTCGTTTCCATGGCAACAAGCTTGACAAAAACTGAAATTGGTGGTAGTGCTCTTTTCTGGAGCAGAACTCTAAAACCGTTCACTATTTCTTCACCAAACTTGGCACATAGATAGATCTGGAGGTGTACTGGTGACTTTTGGTAGTTTTGGATTTCTGAATAATATATTTTTTGTCGTTTCCATGGCAACAAGCTTGACTAAAACTGAAATTAGTTGTAGTGCTCTTTTCCAGAGCAGAACTCTAAAACCGTTCAATGTTTCTTCACCATACTTGGCACATACATATATCTGGTGGTGTACTGGTGCCTTTTGGTAGTTTTGGAATTCCGAATAAAATATTTTGGCGTTTCCATGGCAACAAGTATCACTTTGACTGAAATTGGTGATAGTGCTCTTTTCTGGAGCAGAACATTAAAAACCTTTCAATTCTCTCCTTCCACTTTTCTATGTACACACCTAAATATTTGACATAATCATAACTCGTAGACATAATCATGAAGAGTATTTTGCCATTGAGGGGGATATTGAAGACTTTGTCTTCTTGTTTTAGTTAAATTGAACTCAAGTACCTAACCTATGTGTCACGATTTTGTTACATGTCAGGGTCACTTTGAAAGTCATTCTCTGATGAAATGTCTTGTAATACCTGCATTTTGGAAGTCTTGTTTATGTGAAGGTACAAATATTATTTTTTTTGTCCATAGCGGCTGGCGTCAAGTTCCAGTACAACTCGACAGACCCGTGTGTGATGATGGATGTGGAGGCTACATTCACCACCACAGCCTCACAAGGGGACAACCAGCTGGTAGGTGGTCACAAAATCACAACTCATTATGTTGAAAATAGTACATGTATATCATTACACTTACTCAGTGTGTCAGACATGTTCACAAAAGGTCCAAATGCTGAAACTGAAAAGACATGGTTTGAACATCAAATGGATTAGGGCATCAATGTTTATATTCTGTGGGTTTGGGTAACAGTCTAACTCAGTGAACTACAGCTGATGCCCTTTCAGAATCAACAATGTACAATATTTCTTTTACATTTTTAGTACACAGTCTTAGATTAGCAATCATGGAGACGTGTAGGTTTTAGCAAGGTCCATTATTTATGTGCTACCAGTTGACATGACCGGCAGATGTAAAGACCATCGTGGACGCACACACACACTTAACTTGCAACATAGATAGGTCTGGTGGTGAACTGGTTCCATTTGGATTTCTTAATAAAATATTTTCTGCTTTTCCATGGCAACAAGTTTGACTTTGACTATTGGTGATAGTCCTTTTTTCCGGGAGCAGAACTTTTAAACCATTTATCATTTCTTCCCCGAATTTGGCACATAGATAGGTCTGGTGGTGAACAGGTTTTCTGAAAGTTTGGGATTTCTGAATAAAATAACTTTTGCATTTCCATGGTAACAGGTTTTACTTTGACTGAAATTGGTGATAGTGCTCCTTTCCGGAGCAGAACTTTAAAACCTTTCATTGCTCTCCTTCAACTTTGTGGGTATTCAAGAACCTAATGCATCACTCTATCAAATGGACTTGGGAAAATGTATATTCATCAAGAGTATGTTACCATTGTGAGCTGATGACTTTGTCTTCTTGTTAATCAAGGTTTTTTGAGTCGTTTAGGAATTGTGTACTTTGATTCAGACCCTGTGGTGCATGTGGAAGAAAAGGTACACAGAAACCTGCACTCATCTTTAGAGCCAACTATTGAGGATTGGATGAATATAATGTTTGACCTTGCTAATTGTTTGTCACGCCAGGCCTGCTAGCTTTCCACAGCACTCGTTTCCAATATTTCCACAGCAGTCATATCATTCAAAATAAACAGCTGGATGTTCTCGTCCATTGATTGCTTGGTCACCAACACATGACTGGGGTTCTACAATGCGGCTATGGGCTGTAATTACCCCCCCGCAACACGTTTTGCAGGGGGTATTAAATTGGACTCCATCCGTCCGTGCGTGCGTGCGTGCACATTTGTCTTTTCCGGAGCAGAACTCTAAAACCGTTCAATATTTCTTCACCAAACTTGGCACATACATGGATCTGGTGGTGTACTGGTGCCTTTTGGTAGTTTTGGAATTCTGAATTAAATATTTTTGGCGTTTCCATGGCAACAAGTCCGACTTAGACTGAAATTGGTGGTAGTGCTCTTTTCCGGAGCTGAACTCTAAAACCGTTCGCTATTTCTTCACCAAACTTGGCACATAGATAGATCTGTTGGTGTACTAGTGCCTTTTGGTAGTTTTTGAATTCTGAATAAAATATTTTTGGCATTTCCATGGTAACAAGTTTGACTTAAACTGAAATTAGTGGTAGTGCTCTTTTCCAAAGCAGAACTCTAAAACCGTTCACTATTTCTTCACCAAACTTGGCACATAGATAGATCTGGTGGTGTACTGGTGCCTTTTGGTAGTTTTGGAATTCTGAATAAAATATTTTTGGCATTTCCATGGCAACAAGTTCGACTTAGACTGAAATTAGTGGCAGTGCTCTTTTCCGGAGCAGAACTCTAAAACCGTTCACTATTTCTTCACCAAACTTGGCACATAGATAGATCTGGTGGTGTACTGGTGCCTTTTGTTAGTTTTGGAATTCTGAATAAAATAATTTTGGCATTTTCATGGCAACAAGTTTGACTTAGCCTAAATTTTGGTGGTTGTACTCTTTTCCAGAGCTGAACTCTAAAACCATTCACTATTTCTTCACCAAACTTGGCACATAGATTGGTCTGGTGGTGTACTGGTGCCTTTTGGTAGTTTTGGAATTCTGAATAAAATATTTTTGGTGTTTCCATGGCAACAAGTTTGACATAGACTGAAATTGGTGATAGTGCTCCTTTCTGGAGCAGAACTTTAAAAACCGTTCAATACTCTCCTTCCACTTTTCTATATACACACCTAAATATTTGACATAATCATAACTCGTAGACATAATCATGAAGAGTATTTTGCCATTGAGGGGGATATTGATGACTTTGTCTTCTTGTTGGCTTTTCCATGGCAACAAGTTTGACTTAGCCTGAAATTGGTGGTAGTGCTCTTTTCCGGAGCTGAACTCTAAAACCGTTCACTATTTCTTCACCAAACTTGTCACATAGATTGGAATTCTGAATAAAATATTTTTATCCCCCGCAACGCGTTTTGTGGGGGGTATTAAAATGGACTCCGTCCCTGCGGCGGCAGGTCGGGCCGGGTCCGTCCGATCCGTCCTGTCCGTCCGTCCGTGCACATTTGTCTTTTCCGGAGCAGAACTCTAAAACTGTTCAATATTTCTTCACCAAACTTGGCACATAGATAGATCTGGTGGTGTACTGGTGCCTTTTGGTAGTTTTGGAATTCTGAATAAAACATTTTTGGCGTTTCCATGGCAAAAAGTTCGACTTAGCCTGAAATTGGTGGTAGTGCACTTTTCCGGAGCAGAACTCTAAAACCGTTAACTATTTCTTCACCAAACTTAGCACATAGATAGATCTGGTGGTGTACTGGTGCCTTTTGGTAGTTTTGGATTTCTGAATAAAATATTTTTGGCGTTTCTGTGGCAACAAGTTTGACTTAGCCTGAAATTGGTGGTAGTGCACTTTTCCGGAGCAGAACTCTAAAACCGTTAACTATTTCTTTACCAAACTTGGCACATACATAGATCTGGTGGTGTACTGGTGCCTTTTGGTAGTTTTGGAATTCTGAATAAAACATTTTTGGCGTTTCCATAGCAACAAGTTCGACTTAGCCTGAAATTGGTGGTTGTGCTCTTTTCCGGAGCAGAACTCTAAAATCGTTAACTATTTCTTCACCAAACTTGGCACATAGATAGATCAGGTGGTGTACTGGTGCCTTTTGGTAGTTTTGGAATTCTGAATAAAATATTTTTGGCGTTTCCATGGCAACAAGTTTGACTTTGACTGAAATTAGTGGTAGTGCTATTTTCCGGAGCAGAACTCTAAAACCGTTCAATATTTCTTCACCAAACTTGGCACATACATAGATCTGGTGGTGTACTGGTGCCTTTTGGTAGTTTTGGAATTCTGAATAAAATATTTTTGGCGTTTCCATGGCAACAAGTTTGACTTAGCCTGAAATTGTAGTAGTGCTCTTTTCCGGAGCAGAACTCTAAAACTGTTCAATGTTTCTTCACCAAACGTGGCACATAGATTGGTCTTGTGGTGTACTGGTGCCCTTTGGTAGTTTTGGAATTCCGAATAAAATATTTTTGGCATTTCCATGGCAACAAGTTTCACTGAAATTGGTGATAGTGCTGAATTCGAATAAAATATTTTTGGCTTTCTGGAGCAGAACTTTAAAAACCTTTCAATACTCTCCTTCCACTTTTCTATATACACACCTAAATATTTCTATATACACACCTAAATATTTGACATAATCATAACTCGTAGACATAATCATGAAGAGTATTTTGCCATTGCGGGGGATATTGATGACTTTGTCTTCTTGTTGTCATTTCCATGACAACAAGTTTGACTAAAACTGAAATTAGTGGTAGTGCTCTTTTCGCGAGCAGAACTTAATAAACCTTTCAATACTCTCCTTCCACTTTTCTATATACACACCAAAATATTTGACTTAATCATAACTCGTAGACATAATCATGAAGAGTATCTTGCCATTGCGGGGGATATTGATGACTTTGTCTTCTTGTTGCTTCCTTTTTCAGGGCAAATTGTGTGGGTGGCGTGTGCTGCTGGGCGGGAGCAGCATTCTGTCCCTTTTTGCAAACACCTGGTGTCTACAATCATGTTCCATTCACATAATTTTCCCAGCTATTTTTACCTTTCCACAAAAAGGAATCTGTATAGTCAAGACTGGGTATTCTCTGCTCTTACATACATTTTCTTTTTATCAACATCTTGTTGTTTCTCTCTGCCAGGCAACAGGTTCTGTGAAGTCAAGTGAAAAACACTCTGTAAGTGGGTCATGTGGAGAAAATCAAGCCACGCTGATCATCAATTTCAACAAAACCGATGCAAAATGGACACTAATCTTCAGCAAGAAAGCAGATACTGTGACTGTAACACTCGACATGATGTTCCAGTATGATTCTAAGAAGATGTTCCCCAAGAAAAATCTTACCCACGGTGAGTAGTGTGTCTTAATTTTCCCAGGTGCAGTCTGTTTCTTCTTGACTTCACTGACTAAATCTTCCTGTGGGATTACTTGAACTACCTGCACCCCAATATGCCATATTTTATTACCTACACAGGAAGGGAAATGCAGGTTGGTAAATTTTCTGAAACCTCCCAAGGGGGATAGGTTACAGTATTTTGTTACAGTTGATTACAACTCATTGGCTGTTTCAGAAATGCTATTATTTTATCCCACCGCATGTAATGCGCGTGGGATATAGTCGTCGCTCGGTCCGTCCGTAATCATTTTGTTTCCGGAGCATAACTCAAAGACCGTTCGATATTTTTTAACCAAAATTGGTAGATATGTCAAACATAACCTAAGGTGGTGCCTTTTGCTATTTACAGATTATTGTCATTTTTATTTTTCTCGGTTTCCATGGAAACGTTTTGGACTTAGTCTTAAAGAAGGGTGGGCTTCGTTTCCGGAGCATAACTCAAGAACCGTTCAGTATTTTTCAACAAAACTTGGTAGATATATCAAACAGATCCTAAAGTTGTGCCTTTTGCCATTTACAGATTTTTGGCATTTTTATTTTTCCCGGTTTCCATGGAAACGATTCGGACTTAGTCCCAAAAGTGAGGGGTGGGCTTCGTTTCCGGAGCATAACTCAAGAACCGTTCAATATTTTCAACAAAACTTGGTAGATATATGAAACAGAACCTTGAAGTGGTGCCTTTTGGTATTTGCAGATTTTTGTCATTTTTATTTTTCCCGGTTTCCATGGAAACATTTTGGACTTAGTCTCAAAAAGTAAGGATTGCTTTCGTTTCCGGAGCATAACTCAAGAACCGTTCAATATTTTTCAACAAAACTTGGTAGATATATCAAACAGATCCTAAAGTTGTGCCTTTTGCTATTTGCAGATTTTTGGCATTTTTATTTTTCCCGGTTTCCATGGAAACGATTCGGGACTTAGTCCCAAAAGTGAGGGGTGGGCTTCGTTTCCAGAGCACAACTCGAAAACTTCTCAATGTCTTTCAGCAAAACTTGGCAGATATGTGAGGCAGATCCCAAAGTGGTGCCTTTTGCTATTTGCAGATATTTGGGATTTATTATTTTTTTGGTTTCCATGGAAATGATTCAGACTTAGTCTCAAAAGGAAGGGGTGGGTTTCGTTTCCGGAGCATAACTCAAGAACCATTCAATATTTTTCAACAAGACTTGGTAGATATATCAAACAGATCCTAAAGTGGTGCCTTTTGCTATTTACAGATTTTTAGCATTTTTACTTTTCCCGGTTTCCATGGAAAAGATTCGGACTTAGTTGCAAAAGTGAGGGGTGGGCTTCGTTTCCGGAGCATAACTCAAGAACCGTTCAATATTTTTCAACAAAACTTGGTAGATGTATGAAACAGAACCTTAAGTGGTGCCTTTTGCTATTTGCAGATTTTGGCATTTTATTTTTTTCTTGGTTTCCATGGAAACATTTTGGACTTAGTCTCAAAAAGTAAGGATTGCTTTCGTTTCCGGAGCACAACTCAAAAACCGTATAATATTTTTCAACAAAACTTGGTAGATATATCAAACACATCCTAAAGTTGTGCCTTTTGCTATTTGCAGATTTTTGGCATTTTTATTTTTCCCGGTTTCCATGGAAACGATTCGGACTTAGTCCCAAAAGTGAGGGGTGGGCTTCGTTTCCGGAGCACAACTCAAAAACTTCTCTATATCTTTCAGCAAAACTTGGCAGATATGTGAGGCAGATCTTGAAGTGGTGCCTTTTGCTATTTGCAGATATTTGTGATTTATTATTTTCTCGGTTTCCATGGAAATGATTCAGACTTAGTCTCAAAAAGGAAGGGATGGGTTTCGTTTCCAGAGCACAACTGGAAAACTTCTTAATATCTTTCAGCAAAACTTGGCAGATATGTGAGGCAGATGCCAAAGTGGTGCCTTTTGCTATTTGCAGATATTTGTGATTTATTATTTTCTCAGTTTCCATGGAAACAATTTGGACTTAGTCTCAAAAGGGAGGGGTAGGTTTTGTTTCCGGAGCACAACGCGAAAACTTCTAAATATCTTTCAGCAAAACTTGGCAGCTATGTGAGGCAGATCCCAAAGTGGTGCCTTTTGCTATTTGCAGATTTTTGTCATGTATTTTTTTCATGATTTCCATGGAAACGATTTGCACTCAGTCTAAAATCAAGCTGGACTTTAAGTAACTGTCAGATGATTTGTTCTTTCAAAGATGTGGGGGCCGGGGGATATGTCATCTTCTGATGACTCTTGTTTAGTTTTTCCTTTGACTTTGAATTTGGTGTATACCTGACATAGGAGTACAAAGTTAAGAACCCCAATTCCATGTTATTGTTTAGCATAGCCCAATAACTTCTCTTGTGTACTTTTGTATACTCTTGTAAATTCTCTCATCAAGTTGGACTTCAAGTAAACTGTTAGATTAACTTAGATGACTTGTTCTTTCAAATTTGTGGGGGCCGAGGGGATGTCATCTTCTGATGACTCTTGTTAAAGACTTGCATTAATTTACATTTTTTTTAACTTTGAAAAACCAAAGGGAATGTTTGTTCAGCCATTGGATTGTTTTCAAATTTGGGGATGACCCTCCACATCTTAGAGAGGTGCAGTGCAATTGTAAAGTTATATTTTGATGTTTTGTATTTATCAAAAATTATCACAACATCTCTTGACCTCAGGATAAAAAAGTCCAGATTTGTTTAATCAATAACTTTACAATCATTTATTGTGTTGTTTTCAGATTTGGGTAATGGCTTCTTTGTTTATAGTAAAGGGCTAGTTTGATACAGGTCTTGTATTTTGTCAAGAATGATCATTATTATTTTGTCTTATCCTGACTCATGATCTTTTTCTTATCCTGACTCATGATCTTTTGCTTATCTCCCTTTCCTTTTCGAATGGTAGTGGAACACTTGAATCCCTTGAAGTTCCCTAAGCGGACGTAAAAATACACTCACCCACGAGTTACCTCCCTTTTGCCCTTTTCCCACGCAAACAATCATGTGACCAGCCTTACTTGTCATTCTCTCCCTTTTCGCCCAAGCGGATGGTTGGGCGAGCACTGGAGTCCCTTATACGGCATTATATCCTTTTTATTTAGGTCCTATTCTTCAAAATTACGCTGTATATGGATTTGGCAATAACTGCTATGTATTATATAAATTAATGTATTTGTGTCTTTATTTCATCGTTATGTAACTTTGTTTACATTTCATGGAATCTTGCAGTGTTTGCAGGCACAGGTTATCCGTGGCTGATTCTCACCCCCAGTGCCTTTCGTGCATAAAACCATGTTCTTCCAGCTTGCGCTGTACTTATTGTGTTGATTTATCAAATCTTCAATTTAATCAATATTTGTCTTATATCTGTAGACGTGCCTTGGATCCGGCGAGGAAGTCATCTCAAGTCATGACTTATAAAACAGGAGATCAACCTTCAAACCGTATGTTGCTTGCTACTGCGTAAGTTCATAATACTGTTGCTATGTTTAGTGCGTTGCAGGGGCAGTCTGCTGGTAAGGGGGCCAAGAAGAGATTGGCTTCAACGCAGTTGACTCTGACTCAAGCTAAGAAAAAGACGTCGTCTTCTTCTACGTCGCAGAAGAAAGCATCTGTTACTGGATCGGAGGGTAAATCTATGCGGCCTTGTAAGTCAACGCATCAGAAATCCTTCAACGAAGAGATATTACCTCCGCATGAAGTAGATTTTTTTTGATGATCTCCCGTTACTTCTACCCGAGGTACCTTTGAGATCGGCGACGCAATCGACTTCCATGACTACTAGATTGTCTCCTGCAACTGTCACAGCAGGCCAGCTGTTTGACAAACTACCACCGACTTGTCAAAGGAGTGAAGTTGAGGCACACAATTCATCAGCGTTCGCGAACGCTTCTTCTACACCAAAGCAGCTTCAATCAACGCAGAACTTGATCTGGGTGAAATTGAGACAATTCACCAACCAGATGATGGCTATGATGGAACACAGGTTCGAGGAAGAAGCGAAGGCTCGGCGAAGCGTCTCATCTACCGACACCGTGCGCAAACCTACGGACCTGTGCGAACGTAGTCCACATAGAACTACGTCTCAAGACTACATTGGCGAACGTACACCTTTGCGAAGGTCTCCACAGTCTGACGACTGTATCATCTTGGAGGAGGATAGAGGATAGAGATGCCTACTCACCGTTCTACATCAGGAACCCTCAACGTTCGAGAACATCAAAGGATTTATCTCCTGCACATAGCCGTTCTAGATCGAGATCTCATATCTCTCACAGACGTTCGCGAAGTCACTCATCACGATACAGAGGTTCGCGAAGAGAAGGCTCACATCACAGAGGTTCGCGAAGGGATACATCTAGCAACTGAGGTTCGCGAAGAGTAGGCTCACGTCACAGATGTTCGCGAAGAGATGAATCAACAGTTAGAGGTTCGCGAAGAGAGGACTCTCAAGATAGACGTTCGCAAAGGGAGGAATCTTCAGTTCGCGAAAGGATGATGGAGGTTCGAGAAGGGATACAGGTTCGCAGAAGGATGAATCGCGGAGGCATAGCTATACCGATCAGGAGATAACTGATGAATAACCAGACTTCGCTTCTCGGACTCAGAGGTTACTGATGGTTTGAACTTGGAGTCTCCTAAGGATATAGATGAAGTCTACGCTTATAAGATGCGTAATGACGACTTTAATGTGACTATTCCTCAGATTGAACCTATATCCAACATATACCTTCTAACCTACGCACAGCTTTGAGAAAGATACAGACACTACAAGGTTCGAGAGCTCTCAGATCTACAGGCAGATAACAGCAACGCAGACATCTACAGGGTTCGCGAACCCTAGGGTAAACAAACCCTTACATCAACAGGCAGGATGTTGACGTCGACTCTATTACCATACGGCTGAATAAAACGAAGCAATGATGAAAACGGATGGTTTTGTCCGAGTTTAAAACTCAACAAAAAGATCTACA